TGTGCAGTCTTCTGTAACGTGTTAGAGTACGTGTTCAGGGGTGTGAGTGGAATTGGAAAACGAAAACCACCATGAACAAGTGATGAAGAAAATTATAGGTTTTATTTTCCAAAAAAAGACAAAATAGGGAATTTCTTAGAGGGTAGATGCTATTGCGCCTGGTGAAGAGTATTAATACTCGAGCCACAGGCATATTAGGAACAAAATGTAAAGCTTTTATGAAAAAAATTCCCTTTTTTGTTCAGCATCTTTTGAGATTCCATCCTTTTCTGCTTTTGATGGGCATTCTTACCTTTCCAGTTGATAGTCCATCCCTCATCAGTTTAATCTTAGAATAACAAGAGGATGAAATATTTTCTTGCAATCATTATTCATGCTGCCGTGGTAAGATCTTACCTCAGCAATTCTGCAAGTGTCTAAGTAAAGCTCCTGGCTGTATTCTGCTTTTTCGCACCAGACTTTTTCAGTTACTCCATGTAGGTAAGTTCTCACATCCCAACACTTAAGCAAACTGTTAGTTACTTGTGCTGTGCTTTATGAGTACTACACATAAAAGAAATACCCCCTGTTTTCTGTCAGTTCCAGGGATTATACTAGCATTAAAAGATTGAATTGGAAGTCTTGAGAAATGAAGTATTTTTCAACATCACTTTTGCTTTCAAAAGAATACATGAAAATATATCACATGAAAAGCAAGGCATGCAATTATATAATCACATAACCCAACACTTTCCTAAAGAGACAGTCAGAGCAAAAACACACAGAGAGCAAAATTAGCTTAGAGTGCATAGAAGAATAACCAGGATATGTTTTGATGTTGACCCATGCTGTTCTCAAAGAACCAAGAGGCTGCGTGACAGAATTCTTTGCTACCTCAGCTTCTATATTTATACTGTTTAGTGGTGGGTTCGTATGTGAAATCCTACACAAAACTTCCAGTGGCTCTCAATTTTATCAGAAAGCCTCCATTTTGAGCTGAGGATTTTATGTTTCCAGTATCTCTCTTGCTTTCATCTTCAAACCAAGATTTTGTCAGATGTTCTACTTGAGGCTGAGGAGGGGAGTTCAATCTTGTTCACCACTTGACTGTGGAAAGCCAACAAGTCAAAGGTAGCATACGATAAAAGGTTAAACAGGATGAAGACATCTATTGAAATAATGTCCTTGGCACGCCATTATTGCAGGAGCCTGTGAGGTCCCTCAGATTTCTCTCCAAGGAATTTTCTATTTTTTCCCCCAGATGATCTTTATTGAACTTTTAGTTACATACTGTACATACACATACATTATATTTCACTTTTGTTCTTGCTCTCCTGAGCTGACTTCCCTCCTTCCTTCTTCTGGCTTTTTTGTGTCCTCTTTGACTTTTCGCATTGTCTTTGTCCATTTTCCACAAGATTGTTCTTCTTCATTTTTTTCCATTAAATGTCCGTAAACAAATCTTTCTATATATACAAATTCTTGCTGTCTGTCTATATTCATTTACAAATATTGTTCAATAATAATCCTAATATACATTTTTAATTCATTTTGATATTATTATCCAGTAAATTTCTTGTATTTTCCCGTAATGAGATATTATTTTAATTCTACTGGTTTCCCTATTTCACATCATCTTCACTATATATAACATAAATTTTCCCCATTCTTTTCGATATGTTTCATCCCCCTGATGTCGAATTTTTGTTGTTAATTTGGCTATTTCTGCATAAATAGAAATATCCAAGGAATTAGCTCCAGCAGTGTCTTGCTGCAAGACTGAGCTCTGCTTAATTTTTTCTCACAACTTCACCTTCTCATTCAAGTCTCATTCAAGAAATCCATGGATAGGAAATGTCCTCAGGAAGAGCTCTAAACACTTGCCTTAATTTCCAGGATGAATGAGTCAGGTCTAAAGGAGATCTACCACTCTCTGTCTTTGGGAAAGGAGGCTGATAAGATGAATATAGGACCAAGAAAAAAATATTGTATGGGAAAATGCATAGTATGAAGTTAAGCCCTTCTCCATTGAGTCATAGAGGGAGAGTTGGGCTGGGCAAAGGAAACACCAAGAAGATACCGATCTCTTGTCACAAAGCAATCCCCCTTGAAATAATAGCTCTTTAGTATCCTTTCCCTCTCACATCTAAGACCACAATGTTATCTGAGTGGAAAGCAATTATTTGGATAAGAGTTGGCTCTACTGTAGAGAGGAGTGGAGACAACTTCTTCGGGGTGGCACTATGGTTAGGAATGAAAAATTGGAGACTTAATGGTGTAGCGAGACTCTATTCTGTCAGGCCATACTTTCTTACATTGCTGCAAGGACACGGGTGGTGCTGTGGTCTAAACCACTGAGCCTCTTGGACTTGCCGATCAGAAGGTCGGCAGTTTGAATCCGTGTGATGGGTGAGCTCCCGTTGGTCTGTCCCAGTTCCTGCCAACCTAGCAGTTCGAAAGCACGGCAGTACAAGTAGATAAATAGGTACCACTGCGGCGGGAAGGTAAACAGCATTTCCGTGCACTCTGGTTTCCGTTACGGTGTTCCATTGTGCCAGAAATGGTTTAGTCATGCTGGCCACTGTTGGGTGATAACGCCGAAGTTTGGTGCCTCCCCCCAATTCAGCATTGCCCAGGATTCATTCCTCCGGTCTCCCGTTACGCTGATGTGGCCCATATCCAGGGACATGAGCACACGAGAAGCAGAGTTCAAAATGGAAGCTCAGCCTTGAGGAGTAACACCTAAGCCTAATTTATTGAAAATTAAATCAAACGTAACAGAACAAAGACAACATGTCTCCTCTCTCTGTCTTTCTTCCTCGGAGGTAAAGGTAAAGGGACCCCTGACCGTTAGGTCCTGTCGCTGACGACTCTGGGGTTCTGGCGCTCATCTCACTTTATTGGCTGAGGGAGCCAGCGTACAGCTTCCGGGTCATGTGGCCAGCATGACTAAGCCACTTCTAGAGAACCAGAGCAGCGCACGGAAATGCCGTTTACCTTCCCGCCGGAGCGGTACCTATTTATCTACTTGCACTTTGACGTGCTTTCGAACTCCTAGGTTGGCAGGAGCAGGGACCGAACAACGGGAGCTCACCCCGTCACGGGGATTTGAAACGCCAACCTTCCGATCGGCAAGCCCTAGGCTCTGTGGTTTAGACCACAGTGCCATCTGCGTCCTTGAAGAGAGAGCTGCAAAAGCAATAGCTATACTGAGCGGAAACAGCGTATCTCAATTTCCTTTCACAAGACTCCAACAATCAGTGCTGGAATGTAAACAGACATGTGACATGTAACAATCCCCCACACATCTGCAGCATGGGAGGTATGGAATTCTCAACAGCCACATGACTTGGAAAGTTGTCTGTGGAGAAATGGTGGCTCCCTCGGCCTGAAAGCAAGATGAGCACCGCAACCCCATAGTCACCTTTGACTGGACTTAACTGTCCAGGGGTCCTTTACCTTTTACCTTTTTACATTGCTGCAAGCAGGCAGTTAATGCTGGATCCATTGTCTTGGGGATAGGGAAGAATAATGCCTAAAGACGTAGTCCCCTCTCTGCCCTGCCTCCAAGCCATTTTTGCATGTTTAAGGTGTAGTTTGTTCCTAAGGCTGCAACCTTTTACCTGCTTAGCTGGGAGTAATCCCTGGTGAACTCCAGGAGACATACAAGTATCGCTCATTAAAGATTTCCCCTTACACACTTCTGGTTATCGTAGGAGGATGAAATGGTATAATGTATAATGATACATCTCCCCATAAGTAACGTGGTAATTTGTGGCACTGAAGTCCTAACAGTTTCTCTGCTACTGGAGCTAATGTGGAGTCGCGTCTGATAATGGAACCAGTTGAATGCAGAGCGGTCATCAGGTTCCTGTACTTGAAAGGGTGCACACCAGGGGAGATGTTCAGTGAGATGGAAGGGGAGGATGTCCCATCATATGACGTAGTCAAGCACTGGCATCGTCAGTTCAAGTGTGGTCGGACTTAGGTGGAACGGCTCCAATTCCTGGGCGACCACAGTCTGCCATTGCTGAAGACACCATCAAGCAAGTGAAGGCCACCATTTTGGAGGATCGCTGCATAACTGGTCGCCAACTAGCTGCAGATGTCAAGATCAGTGTGGGCTCTGTAGAAAAAAACTCCATGACCATTTTCACATGGGAAAGGTGTCCGCACGGTGAGTTCCTCAGCTGCTGACACTTTTCCAGAAGCAGAAGCAAGTCACATGCTCAGGGGCTCTTTTGGCCATGTGTCACGAAAACCATGATGACTTCTTTGTCAGACTAATTACTCAGGACAAAACATGGGTCCTTCATTATGACCCAGAGATTAACTCCCAGTACAAACAATAGAAGCACTCTGCCTCACCACCTCCAAAGTAGGCACGTGTGATGGCCTGGGAATTGGATTCAGAGGCTGAACCTGAGGAATCCCAGCCTGCACAGGAGTCCCCGCCTCCAGGACCAGCTGAGCCGGGGCGGGGCTTGAACCTGAAGCGCCCTCACCTGTGCCGGATCCTCAGGAGCAGACACCAGCTGAATCTGATCTGGCTTCGGAGGTGATTGAGGACCCATTGCCTGCAGGTGCTCCACTCTCAGTCCCGTCAGGGGAAGGTGAGGTTGCCTCTGGGTCCGGTAACCCTCCAGCCTCTCCTGAGCTGCAGAGGCTCAGGGCAGAGAGGCGGAGGGAACTAAGTTCCAGCAGGAGGAGTGCTCGCCTCCAGGCCAGGAGAGGTGAGTCACCTGTGGACCTGGGCCGCCCTATGCCTTGGGGCAGATAAAAGCCAGCCCCAGTCCCAGGTTGCAGGAGCAACGTTGTTGCTAGCCTGTTCCTGCCTGCACCCTGTCCTGCTCTTCTGCCGGAGTTCCTGACCCCACCCAACTCCCCGCCTTGCACCCAGCTACAGCTTTGATGGACAGCCTCCATAACGCACCATCGACCTCGGACTGGACTCGGACCACACCACACAGTAACCCCCCGGGACCAGCACAGCACGTGTCCAACCGTCAACAGGCAAGGTCATGCTCACAGTCTTTTGGGACCAGCTACAGAAATTGCGGAAGGCCATCAAAAACGAGAGACATGGTATGCTGACCAAAAGTGTCCACCTCCTGCAGGATAATGCCCTGGTTCACAACTCACATGTTGCTCAGATGGAAGCATGGTTCTGTGGCTATGAAATCCTTCCTCAACCCCCTTATTCTCCCGACCTCACACCATCGGACTTCCACCTCTTTACAACCATGAAGTTATTTTTGAGAGGCACACTTTTTCCAGACGATGAAATGCTGGTTTCTGAGGTCAAGTCATGGCTTCTGACGGAACCTGCCGACTTCTACAGTTGATGTCTCCACAGCTGCATAAAGTGATGGGTAAGTGTTTGACTCTTGCTGGTAGCTGTGTAGAGAAGGACTAATAACTGAGCCCAGTTTCATTTGTCTCAGTCCACAGGAAGTACATCAGGGGAAATCTTAATGAACGCCCCTCGTATCTGTCAGTAAACTGATAAGTAGCATGATTTTGAACTGTTGGAGACATTCATTTATTCATGGAGACAAGACAGGTAGGATAATAATACTGCTATCAGACCTAATTCCACAAAGTCTTCAGTCCATAATTTCTCTATAAGGACTTGTCAACTGAAATAGCCATATCATGAGGGAATAAGGTTGAACCCAAGTGGAATTTCAAGCTCTAGGGAATAACCATGTTGACAAATCTCTACAAACAGCAGGCTTTCTACAGTGTCTGCAAATCCATTAATTCATCAGCTCACACATAATGTAAATTCTATTTTGGTCCTCCTCCAATAGTCAAATTTTGGTCCCTTGAGGTTTTCCCAAATTCTCACACTTCCTTTGCAGGGCTGTTAAAAATGGAAAATCCCATTTTCAATTGTAAGGATACTCCTTAAAGCAAATTATTTAAAGTGAGAAATGTTTACTAAAAGCTGTTAATGTAAGTGGCTGGGGTTAATAAAGAGGAGGGGGGGGAGCCTAACTGCACCCAATTTGCGAGTGAATTGCTAGCTCACAGAGCTATTAACATTAGGAAATGGATTGTGGCAGGAGTGCTGAAAGCACCTTTGACTTTTCCTTTCCAGTAGTGACATGGTCTTGTATTTTTCTTATTGAAGACAATAAATGACAGCCTCAGAGTGAATTTTGCATAGCCACAAATGTGTCGTGTCTAAGATAATGCATTAACTGAAAGAGTAACAATGTGCCAAACTATCAAATGAAGGTGTTTTCTTTGGAGGGGGGAAGAAAATGAAGAGCAAAGGTCAGCCAGTGAACTGAAATCAGAATCCTCCTGGACCAGTGAACCCTATACTTATCAGTTATCATTAACTATGAGGTATGTATGAGGAATGGGACGTGGGTGGCACTGTGGGTTAAACCACAGAGCCTAGGACTTGCTGATCAGAAAGTCGGCGGTTTGAATCCCCGCAACGGGGTGAGCTCCCGTTGCTCGGTCCCTGCTCCTGCCAACCTAGCAGTTCGAAAGCACGTCAAAGTGCAAGTAGATAAATAGGTACTGCTCCGGCAGGAAGGTAAACGGCATTTCCGTGCGCTGCTCTGGTTCGCCAGAAGCAGCTTAGTCATGCTGGCCACATGACCCGGAAGCTGTACGCCGGCTCCCTCAGCCAATAAAGCGAGATGAGCACTGCAACCCCAGAGTTGGTCATGACTGGACCTAAATGGTCAGGGGTCCTTTAACCTTAAAAATGTATGAGGAAATTGATCTCTGACCACATCTTTCCCTCTAAGTTGACTAATTTGTAGATTGGAACTTAGTAATTCACTAGCTTTTAATATCTCTGTACTACTTGTGCAGTTCTCAGCCCAAGAACTCACAAAAATGCATTTAAGTATTTATGTTTTGAGAGAAAATGCCCCTAAAGATTTGTTTAAATGTGAGTTTTCCTATGCTTTTCCTATATATCAAAAAATAGATTGACAGAGACACTGGATAGAATGGACAGGGGTAAATATATGCTGAAATGACACAGATTTAAATAATTTCCATTCCACTCTTAAGCAAAAACTGGCTTCCAAAACAGCTTACAGATCCCTACAAGAAAGACAGTCCCTGTCCTCAGAATGAACGATCTGAAAAAGATAAATGCTGCAGCCATCTGGATCTGACCCTGTCAATAGTCAGGAATGTTGGCGGTTGTACTCCCAGCAACCTCTGCAGTGCCACAGGTTCAACAAGCCAATTTGACACTTCTATCAGCATGCTACTAAATTCAGGTTCTTACACTTTCCCATCCATACCTGTACCTTCCCCCACAACAGAGCACTTAAGCACTATATCCCTGTCAGCTAGCATAAATTGGTTCTAACAATTCACTTAGTAGATCACAGAATATTAGTCTAAGGGCACCTGCAGAACAGTGAATAGAGACCTGGGACAGACAGATTTCAAATCCCTCTTTGTGAAGCTTCTTACATGAACTTGGCCTTGGAAAGATGAATTCACATAACCACGAGGTGATCAATGGTCATTGGGAAGTTTCTGGAAATCCCTGCATCCATTGGCTTGCTGCCTAAGTCAAATGGCCTTGTGCAAGAATTGTGCTTTAAGCTCATCTTCTCTCTCTCTCTCTCTCTCTCTCTCTCTCTCTCTCACACACACACACACACACACTCTCTCTCTCTCTCTCTCTCTCACACACACACACACACACCCATTTCGAACTGTTTGTGTTGGTTGTGTTCATTCTATATGCATATAATATGTGAAATTGGGGGTTGACTCCTAAAACTAAATGAGATGCACCGAGATACAAGCCTAGTCCTACTGGCGTAGCTAGCCATTTTTGCACCATTTGCCATTAAAATATTTATATACTGCCGATTATGGAAACATCTCAAGACTGTTTGCAATAAAATCTATTTAAAACGCAACAACACATCAACAAACGAGAGCAGCTCATTTCAAAACACAAGAAAATACCTTGAATTGAAGCCAAAATGGGAATGGTCTTTTGGTCCCCAATTTTAAAAATTATATTAAATAGCAAATTTTATAGACTGGATAATAGAACTTTTGCTCAGTATATCATGCTTCAAAAGCTAAAGAATAAAAGCTTCTTTACAGACTATCTTGAGGAATAATAGCAATTGCAGATATAAATGTTGTTGTTGTTTAGTCGTTTAGTTGTGTCTGACTCTTCGTGACCCCATGGACCAGAGCACGCCAGGCACTCCTGTTTTTCACTGCCTCCCGCAGTTTGATCAAACTCATGTTGGTAGCTTCGAGAACACTGTCCAACCATCTCATCCTCTGTCGTCCCCTTCTCCTTGTGCCCTCAATCTTTCCCAACATCAGGGTCTTTTGCAGGGAGTCTTCTCTTCTCATGAGGAGGCCAAAGTATTGGAGCCTCAGCTTCAGGATCTGTGCTTCCAGTGAGCACTCAGGGCTGATTTCCTTAAGAATGGATAGGTTTGATCTTCTTGCAGTCCGTGGGACTCTCAAGAGTTTCCTCCAGCACCATAATTCAAAAGCATCAATTCTTTGGTGATCAGCCTTCTTTATGGTCCAGCTCTCACTTCCATACATCACTACTGGGAAAACCATAGCTTTAACTATGCAGACCTTTGTCAGCAAGGTGATATCTCTGCTTTTTAAGATGCTGTCTAGGTTTGCCATCGCCTTTCTCCCAACAAGCAGGTGTCTTTCAATTTCGTGACTGCTGTCACCATCTGCAGTGTTCACGGAGCCCATGGAAGTAAAATCTCTCACTGCCTCCATTTCTTCCCCTTCTATGTGCCAGGAGGTGATGGGACCAGTGGCCATGATCTTAGTTTTTTTTATGTTGAGCTTCAGATCATATTTTGTGCTCTCCTCTTTTATCCTCATTAAGAGGTTCTTTAATTCCTCCTCACTTTCTGCCATCACCATCATCTGCATATCTGAGGTTGTTGATATTTCTTCTGGAAATCTTAATTCCAGTTTGGGATTCATCCAGTCCAGCCTTTCGCATGATGAATTCTGCATATAAGTTAAATAAGCAGGGAGACAATATACAACCATGTCGTATTCCTTTCCCAATTTTGAACCTATCAGTTGTTCCATATCCAGTTCTAACTGTAGCTTCTTGTCGCACATAGAGATTTCCCAGGAGACAGATATAAATACACATGAATATTTTTTAAATATCACATTGGTGGAAAACATGGGAGTGGCAAAGAATAGCCAGTATAGATATGTGTAGCTTGCTTGCATTTCTACAGAGCAAAGCACTTCATATATGTTTTGAAACAATACAATAACCAAGCAACTAAAATGAGAGCAATGAGCCAGCTAAGATAACTTGAAATGAGAGACTGTCCTGGTTTTATTTCATGCTCAGATTGAGGGCATTGTACTGACAACAAAGAAGGAAATTTTCTCCAGGCTAAAATGACCAGCTTCTGTTGCTTTTGCCTCTGTGGGAGTGTTTGCTTCTTTTGTAAGAGTGTCTCTGATTCTTGTTTCAAATGTCAATTGGACCTTAGCATTAAAAATGGATCATATCAGTACCTTGTATCAGAATTGCTAGTAATAATCCAAACTGTTTTCAAAAAAACAGGGAATGATCTTATTTACCTGCCACTCTAAATTTGGCTTTTTAATTTCCTGCGTGAGAACCCTCGAAATTTTGATTAAAATCCAAGTCAGATAGGAATTTTGCTCATCTTGCATTTGGACCCAAATATAGCAAATTTTGCCAGCCTCTCAATTTGCCTGGCTCTTGCCTTGATTTTACCTGCTCTGGCCCCGTAAGCCTACATGCTTCTCATTGTTTTCCCTTTGCCATCATTACTGCTTAGTTATAACATGAAAAGATAAAGTTTGGGAGGTAAAATTGGTAGTGTGTTCCATGTAGAGATGATCATCAACTTCAAACACAATTTGAAAAGATGATTTAGATCAAAAGGTTAAAATGGCTGAAAACACCAAAGACGATGTCTTGATTTAAATGAATGGTGGCTGCTGTAGTTTGGGAGTCATCCGCTCGATTATTGCATTTGACAGGTCAAAATCTCCATAGACCAGCCTGACTTTGTAACTCCTGTATCCCCTTTCTTTTGAGCATCTATTGGCAATTGAATTAGACATACATTTCACATTCTTGTGTGCTGATTTGGAACAACACTTGCTCCAACAGAGTTTTCAAAGGAGCTGATAGAAAGAAAGGCTGACCTTGTTCAGTTTCCCAATTTCTGCTCACCATGCTGGGGGAGATCATTAAACCTGTTGTTTCCAAGATTCACTTGGAAATGGAATTGCCAGTGGTTGTGTGGTTGTGTGTCTTTTAACAGCCGCACAACAGGTAAAAATTGATGAAGCTTTC